ATTCGATGCCTTCTTTAAAATAAAGTTTATCTGTAAAATTGAAAAGAATATTAACATTGCTGATACTTCATGCCATAGGTGTATGGAACATTAAGAAGGTATTTAAAAGACATTAAAGATTTGGAGAAATACACTGATACTGTAGGTCTAATCATCATTATATATAGACCATTATCTATTGTAAGCTTGTATTTTAAGGGGTAATTTATACCCACTGCACATTTTGGCAGAAAATGGCAGTGTTATAGTACTATTAAAATAACTCTATAATAATGGCATCACAACAACATTTGTGGAATCAAATCAATAGCTTTACATTATTTAAAGGTATCATGTAGCTTTCAATGTTCTTATGGTGGCGGGACGGAATTCCAAAAGGTGGTTTGACGGAATTAAATAATTATTTTAGTTTAAAATTGTTTAAAATTTTCCAAAATTATTTTTTAAGCCAAAATCATAAATTACACTTTTATAATCATAATATTGTTAAGAATTATGGAAATGGAATCGATGCAAACACTTTTAAAAACAAATTATACTTCATAATGGTGGTATGGAATTCTTACTAAGTGGCGGGACGGAAAATAATAAAATGGGTTTAAAATTAATTTTAATTTGACAGTTATTTTTACTGGTGGCGGTACAGAATTTGACCCAATAAAAATGCATGTCATTTTTGGCTCATGTTGTTTCCAAAGCCGGCATAGAGCCTGACCCTGCTAATCTTGAGAAGGTCAAACGTTGGCCTATTCCACGTAATGTCACCCAGGTCAGAGGTTTTGTGGGTCTTTGCTCATACAGTATTACAGGCGTTTCGTGAAAAACTTTGCCTCAGTTGTTCGTCCTCTGCAACTACTACAGTAACACACAAAGGCGTACCTTTTGTTTTGTCAGATGAGTGTGATCATGCTTTTAACATATTGAGAGAAAACTTGATTAACCCAGCAATTGCGGCATATCCTTATTTTAATTTACAATTTCAACTTTTCACAGATGCTTCAGAATTTTCTATCGGCTCTGTATTGACTCAAATTCAGGAGGGTAAGGAACGGGTTATCGCTTATGCCAGCCATGCTCTTAGCAAAAGTGAGAAGAAGTGGTCTACTTATGCTATTGTGTGGAGTGTCAGGCATTTTAAGCATTATTTGCGTGGTAACCATTCTTATTGTTACAGGCCACAAACCCTTGACAGGTTTACAGGGGTTATCATATAGAAAATGATGTCAAACACAATGGATTCTTGATTTGAATATGTTCTATTGGAAGATTGTGTACAAATCAGGTAAGACAATCTGAATGCGGATTCATTATCCCGTAGACCGATCCTAGTTTAAC